ACAAACTCAACCCTCTTCACCTCTAACCCTCAGCGTGCTGCGTCCAACAATGGCACGATGGGGCTGGGTGAAACACGCTGAGCGTTAGAGAAGCAGAGGGCTGGGTTCACGGTCCCGAAAGGGTTAACCTTTCCGGACGATTAGGGCCTTTCGACCCCCCAATTTCCAAAGGTCTTTTTTCGCTGCACACCGCTCTATCCAAAAATTTAGTGGTCATTTGAAAGCTTTACTCTCAGCGGTTTTATAACTGTGTTTGTTTTCTCAAAAACGTCTTCTTAATAAGCTGTAGTAGCAAAAAATTAGGATATGTATCATATTCGGTTTGCTTTGCTTGCTCGGCTAAGCCCTGTGGATCGTGTTTATTAATAGGTTGAGGAGAAAGTTCCCGGAATTTGCCCATAACTTTAATATGTTCGCATGTTTTATATGCGACTTTCACATGGTCTGAAAGCTCGTTTTCTTGCGCATCGATTGATAAAACTCTTCTATACTGCCGCAAGATGGAACTGAACCGCGAACAGAAACGACTGTTGATGCTTAACGAGTACAAAGTGGGCACGAATGCCGCTGACACTGTTCGTCGAATCAATGAGGCATGGGGCGAAGGAACTGTTGGAAAGACAGCTGTCTACGATCACTTCAAGGACTACTAAATTATTGAATATCAACTATTGACTATTAATTATTGACTCACTGACTATTGAACTGTCTTTTGTTCGAACTTAATTGACGCATAAATAAGTTTTTATAAGCAATTCCGGAAACTTTCTTCTCAACCTATTAGAATACTGATATCGATTCGACAGAACAAATGTCACGTCTCTAAAGCAAAATTTGGTTTTTGAAAAGGTTTTCGTAGCGCGCAGTAAGAGTGAATGTAAAATCCCGTTTCAGACTCGATCTTTTTCTCCGCATACAAGGGTTATATATGCACAAAAAGTGTACGAACGTGTAGAAAAAGCCATGTTCTGTCAAATCGATCTAGAAAACCTGAAACTTTTCTTGGAACAAAAAAATTTTTTTATTAAATAAGGAACGTCGCGTGCCGCTTGCGATATCGATTATGCCGCCGTTCGTCAAGGGTTAACCCTAAGCCTACAGCAGCCAAGCAAATACAGCGAACAAGAGCTCAAAGAAAATCGACAAGAAGGGACAAAAGCGCATACCTGTGATTCTCTGAGGATCAAATTCCATGCGTCTATATCGAAAGGATTCAGCTCGATTCGCCTCTCCGGAGTCAGTATTGAAGAACTCGCCATCACTGAAACTACAGGTGGAGGTAGAAGAGTAATAGCAACGGCACATAGATCAAATCCTGCGAAGTAAACAGCCAACCGACAACAAACAGGAAAAAGAGATGAAATTTTTACTAATACAAATTGTCAAAGATGAATGAGATGCAAAATTTTCAAAGTCAGCGGGAATCAAACCCTTATATCACCCTTTACGAGAGAATGTTCTAAGCAACTGCGATACCGTAGCTCCTGCTCTGCCACCACTTTTTTCTGCGATGCGCGAAAACTTTGGTACTTTTCCGTTATCCGCACACAGTTTTGACCGCTTCAAAAAAAACCATACTTTCTGGTTGTTCTCAAGTTTAAGTGGTCATTCGATAGCCCAAATCGAAACAATTTCGATGGTGCATTTTATTTTTGAAATAGTTGAACTACTGCGCTGTAACAGCAGAAATAATATTATGTTTCTCAATCAAGAATTTCTCGTTGAACAAAACTTTTCCCTGAACTTTTCAGTGACCATTCGATAGCTTAAACCTCAGCGATTCCAATGATGTAGTTGCTTTTTTAAAAGGTACCTTTACTGCGCTGGAAATATTCAAAACAAAGATTGGGTTTCACAGATTTGGCACCGGAAAATGTGCATGCTGGCTTAGTGCCAATGTTGGGCTGCGCGAAAGTCGATCTTCTTTTGGCTCTAAATCGCACTAAAAAGTTTTCCTCGAAAACCAGCAAAATTATTGGAATCGCCAAGATTCAAGGTATCGAATGTATATTAAATGTCTGATAGAACAGCCTTGTTTAACGAGAAATTTCTGAATGAGAGACATAATTTTATCCTTGCTGTTACAGCGCAGTAGTAAAACTACTTTGAAAATAAAACGCATCAGTAAACCCAATGATGTAGAGTGGAGTGCAAAAACGTTTTCGAGAGCCAGGATTTGAACCCAGATCTTACTCTTTCGTAACGCGTTGTAACGTAAAAAGAGTGGAGTGCAAAACGAGCGTTGGTGGTGGCAACGGTTAATCACATGCTCCCGGAAAGAGTAAGATCTGGGTTCGACTCCCGGCTGTAGCAAACGTTTTTGCACACCACTCTACATCATTGGGTTTATTTAAACACCACAACACCGCAATCGGCGGTCAAACAAAATGACTTCGGATTGATTATTAAAACGCATCATTCAAATTCTTTTGAATTAAGCTATCGAAATAAGAAACTAAAACCATGAAAACGACCAAAAAATAAGCTTCTTCTGGAAGCTCGCGACAGGTGCGGATAACGGAAAAGAACTAAAATTTTCTAGGCTTGGTACTAAACTACTAGAGGTATATTTTGATCGTGGAACAGCCAATTGTTTGTAGACAAGAAAAGAACTTCAAAATTGATAGTTAGAAACAAATTCAGCCAAATATCCCAATATTCCACATCCATGGAGGATTAGTTACTTTTTACACAGCGGCAATGGCCAGAAGTACTAAAAGTAAAAGGATAAAGCTCTTGGCGTTGATCAATCCCTGAGAGATGCGCCATGCATTCGACTTCAATTTTTAACTTCGTTTGAGGTGATTGAATGCACATCTGGCCTTTACAATGACTCGCGGAGGCCTCCCGCTGAACCGAGTCAGTGCCGCTTATCCTCCCAGACAAGTCTGAGACCTGCCTGGTACAATTTACCTACCCCGAGGGATGGATGGCTTGGTGAGCCATGAGCGCGAAATCGAACCATGACCTCGTGTGCGACGCGGAGCACCACTAACCACTGCGCCACATGCGCTTCTACACAACTATGCACATCTACTGAATTTTTTTATAAATAGCATAAAAATCAAGGGAACTAAATCTGACCATCGTCTATAAATGAAGGAAAATCGCAAAAATCATACAAAATTGCTAAGGACTCCGGAAGGAGGTGAGATTGACAAAAAATGTGTGTCATTACACTACTGAGAAGCTACCGTATGCCTGAAAATCTAAATGTTCCTCTTAAGTACTAAACGTATAGCCGTGGCAAAAATACCTAGTAGACCTAAGAGAACTGAGTAGTGAGCAAAAACACAGCCTTAGGCGGGAATCAACCCACATTTCATCCTATCCGGGAAGCGTGCTCTACCACTACACCACTGAGGCACATTTGCCCTACCACTCATTCTTCAACATCTCAATGTTAGCTATCAGCCACCAGCCTCTAACAGGTTTGCTCGGATATGCGATTTCGCTTTATAAATCCCGTTAAGCTGACAGCTATTTTTATATATAATACTTCGAAATTGTAGTATTTCTACTGCTTATTTCGCAGTGTTATGATAGTGTCCTCTTAGGTATATAAATAACATCATAACACTGCGAAGAAAGCAGTAGAAATACCATAATTTCAATATACCTAATAGAAGCATTCATGATAACGAAAGCTTACAAAAATCATAGAAAAAGCTTCCCGACTCCGAAAGGAGTGAAAACTAGCAAAGCGGCTGTGATGCCATTCCAATTGCAAATTTCCGTAGCCTGCAAATTCATTAGTGTCGACATCGTAAGTCTTCGTAGCCATAGATAGTTATCAGTCTTGTCAGTGCTACATTTACTGGGAAGCATGTGGCGCAGTGGTAAGAGGTTCTCTGCGTCGCACACGAGTTCAATGGTTCGATCTCGCGCTCATGGCTCACCAAGCCATTCATCTCTCCAGAGTTGGTAAATTGGTGCCGGACTGGTCTTAAACTTGTCTGGGAGGATGAGCAGCACTGATTCGACTCAGGGAAAGGTCACTGCTAGTTGTTGTAAGGCTAGATATGCATTCGATCACCTCAAACGAAATTAAAATTCAAGGCGAATGCATGGGGCGTCACTCATGGATTAATCAACGCTGAGAGCTTTATCCTCAGTACTACCGATTCCTCAGTAGTGATAGTCAAAACTGATATCTTTGTGATACTGCCCGCAGGGCATAAGCTGTAACGTCTATTTCTACTTTGCAAAAACTTCTTAAAAATCTACGAGAAATCTTTTTTATCGCCTCGATAGCAATATTGCTTTGTTCTGACAATACATATAAAAGCTTCGACCTTGGCAGTCTTACAAGTCGAGCAGTACCCTTCGTCTTTAGCCAATCTCCCCTGGGGAACTCAACCCCTATAAAGATATGGTGAAGGCGAATTTTTTGCACGGTGCTATCAAGTGAAATAATCACTATCGTTAGATATATCACAGCTGTAGTTCCGAGTGTTTTCTTGAGACCACGCTCAAATTTCAATGACCTCATGATCATTTATATTGGGCTCTATAAGTTACTCTATGACAGACCACATGCATGCCTCAAACAAAGATTATCAGGCATACTGAAATATGAGCGTCATCTTAAGCACTCAAAACTTATGGTATGATATACTCAAGTAATTTTAGAATCGCAGAAGGAATTATAGCAGAAGAAGAAGCCCAGTGAATAGTACGCGTCCTGTGGAAAGGGAGACGCAGTTTACAACTCTCGCGTGAGGTGCGAGATTTTGCCGCTCACACGGCATTTTTGGGTACCAAATAATCAACCCCTTTCCCATTTTTAGAGATCTTATGAGGGTTTTTCGGTGCAAAAAAACAAAAATTTCTGAGCTTTTGACTGTCACTTTCTTTACACTTCAGATTTTTTCACATTAACGGATATTGTTCTCGTTTCCAGAGTGTTGACGAGAGCACAGTACAACAGAGAAGATTCGCATAATATGTAGATGAAAGTTTGGATTCTTAACTCGACGTCTTGCCCCTACAAATTCTGAAAGAAGAACCTATTTCATTCCGCGCATATCTACCTTTCCCTGTCGATACACATCATGAATGCTTATGCAATTTTCCCATCTCAGTGGAATTCGAGAATGATAGCTGACAATAGATTTTTACCTATGCATAACTATGAGCGGCTTGTCTCCAACATTGACTGAAAGATTCCAAAAAAGAATGATTTAAGCTTAAAACACCGGTGTTTCGGAGGTACGTCCTCCTCGTCAGTGACCCCCGCCCCACATTCAGCCCTGCATTGAAGCAAGGAGGGAGGCGTATGTGGTGATGGTACAGTGTACAATGACACTGGTCCATCACCACCCCTCAGTCGATGGATTTTTTGCTGTTAGATCAAAACTAAATCAAAAGATCGACTGTTTTTGAAACCCCGCAAAAAACATTCAATATGATTCCAAAAAAGAATGATTTAAGCTTTTTTTTTTTTGGAATTATATTGAATGTTTTTTGCGGGGTTTCAAAAACAGTCGATCTTTTGATTTAGTTTTGATCTAACAGCAAAAAATCCATCGACTGAGGGGTGGTGATGGACCAGTGTCATTGTACACTGTACCATCACCACATACGCCTCCCTCCTTGCTTCAATGCAGGGCTGAATGTGGGGCGGGGGTCACTGACGAGGAGGACGTACCTCCGAAACACCGGTGTATGACCCTGGCGTAACAACCTCGTTTTTGAGCTTAAATAATTCTTTTTTGGAATTATATTGAATGTTTTTTGCGGGGTTTCAAAAACAGTCGATCTTTTGATTGACTGAAAGAATTAAAAACATCTAAATGGCTCTGAAGGGGCGAATTGTCGAAGCCTCAGCCACTGTATTGTTATTATTAATGTATTGAATTCAATCAATACTATTATTAACATCTTTGCATCTATTCATCATCTAACTAGGCTGCCAAAATCGAAACGGACTGAAATGACGATCGATACCTACAATCCAACAACATTGCTCACGAATCCGCTATAGAAGATCTATTGATTCAAGCAAGAAGGATAAGTCACGACGTCATTGGCCTGGCTAAGACGAGAAGACGCCATCCTTTTCACGCTGTCTATGACACCGGAGAAGAATTGTCTCTTGGAACATGCGATAGCAAAAGTGTCGGCGGCGTTGTTGTACTCATTAAATCGAATTGGACCGTGAACATCGATTCTTTGAACACTTCAAGGTCATTGTTGGAAATTTTAAACGCGAAAATTAGACGTAAGATAAAGTCTAAATAACGTCACATTGGAACCCACGCACTACAATGGTGAAGCGAGTGAAAGGTTATTTGATTTTATCATGACGACCCAAACCATTCATTGTAATTCACAATTCCAAACGTCTCACGCTCAACGATGGTCGTGGGAGTCTCCTAATGGAGAGTACCATAATAAAGTAGTCCACATCTTGGTAAATCGATGGTTTTGCCTGGCCGATATTCTTGTTGTTCCTAAATTCTACTCGGAATGAGACCATCGCCTCCGTGGCGCAACGTTCCGTCTTTTGTAGAAAGGACAGAAGGCCGTTAAATTCAAACAATGAAATCTCAGAAGTACCATAAACTGGGATGTATTCAGATCAATAGTCAGCTCTTGGGAAGATACCGCTGTCGAAACATCTACATAGAATACCACCGCCTCGTTGAATATCTTTACATAAGTGCTATGAAAGACTAGAGTCCTAAATTCACTTAGAGACGCTTGTCTCCGCAGATACTCGAGCTGATACGTCAACGTGGAATCGCACGAGCTACAGGCAACCGAAACCTAACGTCCGAACTTGCGAAACGCTGCAGAGGAGCGATAAAAGAAGTCCTTAAAGAGGGACGAGCAGCAGTTATGGCAGAAGCTGCAGAAGCTGGAAACAGCACCCACATAAGCCAGCGAGGCTTCGTTAGTTATAAGATCAAGATGATTGCACTCCTATATCCTGACGAGACACTTACAGTTTCCAGAAGGGCAATGGAGAAAAATCATCCACCAGTACCACTCGGATCTCTTCCCCATGTCCTCTTACCTTCATATAAATTGAAAGGGGATGAACCTGTCATTTCACCGGTCCTCCATTCCGAAATCCGACATGCTATATCGCCGATGAAGAACAGAACAGCACCCGGTCCAGACAGGATAGGACCAGAACACCTGGAGAGCCTACCGCCAGTTTTCATCAACACCGTGGCCCGGCTCTTCAATGTAAAACTAGCAAGACCGTGTTGTTGTTCAAAGAGAGAGACCTTCACGGCATAGGCAATTATCGCCCAATCTGTTTGCTGTCTATAAACTCTTCACTCGAGTCATCTTAAGAAGGA